GGTCACTGTTAGTATGTGACTGGGTGCTGGGAGTGGTCAGTCTTTTCAGAGGAAGAGGGTGAGATTTTGTTTCCTGGGGGGCTACTCTTAGGGCTATGGGCTGGAGGTGTCTGTGGTTAAGGGCGCCTGCCGTGGTCTGCTGCAGGAAGAGCTGGTGGTGTGCCACCCGCTGGCCAGATGGACAGGACAGCTGCTGTTTGACCAGAGCGTGGGTCTGCACTGGAGAAAAGGCTGCAGGAAGAGCGAGAATGACACTCAGTAGAACAAATACTTCCACCAAGACCTGACAGTCTCCTCATGAAACCACATTTAAAGTCACATCCAGATTCTTATTTGTTTCTGCACCAAATTGTACACTCATAAACTACTACTCCTACTAAGGTTGTTGGATTAAAAACCTTAAGGTAAGAAATATATTGACTTTACCTGGTGGAGAGTTAATAAATAAAAGACAACAGTCACCTAAAACACACCACTTTCAGTACACTAGTTTCTCTTTCTATTCAATTTGCTGAATTATATCATAAGAATTATATCATCTGTTACATAAAATACCTGATGAGTGTTACTTGGTTCAAACGTCCTTGTTCAATAGGGAGCATAGACAGAGTGCAGGAGTTCTGCAAAACTTAAAAACTCAGGGTCTCTCTCTTTCTTTTCGGCCTCAGTGCATGAACACAGTGACTCACCTGGGCTTATAATGTGGGCTCCAGACTGACTCGTCTCAGTCGAAGTGTCAATCAGCTGGTTGGTTTTCAAAGCGCAGATTGACGTCTTGGACAAAGAGGCAGATGGAGACAGGGCTTGGGACTGTGTGGACGGCTTTAAGATGACACTGTGGGCTGTAGCCAGACCTCCAGGTAAGTGGGCACGCAAAGCCAGATTCTGAACCTGAACATATGCAAAGAGAATAACTTTTTTAAACATCAGTGTGTGGGGCGTTGACAGCCCTGTAACACCTTGTTCTTTCATGCAGCTTTATCTACTTTTCCTCTCACTTTTCCTAGATATCCTTTTCCCCTGCAACATGGCTCATGCTCAAGGTTTGTGACATCAGGTCTATAACAATGAGTGTTGTGTCACACATGGCTTATTTTAATTCTGTGCCTGCCAAAGTCAGTACCTGAGAGGAGGTAGGTAAGGAGGAGCAGGAGGTGACAGCGGGGAGGTCTGATTGAACAGCAGCCACCGGAGCTGCAGGAGTCAGAATTAGCTGAAAGAGGAAAAAACGTCCAGTAAAAATAGAAATAGGGCAAATGATTTACGTAGTTTCAAAGCACCAGTATGACTAGAAGCTTGGGATATTTGAAAAGGCGAGTACCATCTGAGTTCGAAGGTACATCTGAGCCTGGTTACAGTTAGCTGGTCTGTTTCCCAGTAGCATGGCCTGCTGGGATACGGTGGTAGCAGCAGTGGTGGAGTTGGATGTGTGGGTGCGGCCAATCAGCTGGGCCGTCACAGGAGATGATGGTAAAGTGATCTGGGTTGAGGGAGGCGTGATGAGGAATGTAAAAAGACAGAGACTGGAGTTCATATGTGTGGATGAGAGCGAGAAAAATTACTCACAGAGCTTTGGGAAACACCAGCAGGTTGAACCAAACTGCCAGTGGATGGAGTCGGAGGCCGCCTCTGACAGACTGAAGCCTGAAAGGGATTGTGAACGCATTATTCCCTTCCTCTCACACTCTTTCATTCACATTGCACAACCACACACACACACTGACCTGCTGTATAGTGGCCAGACTCTGCAGCTGGGGGCTTTGCTGGTGCTGCTGCAGGGCTGCAGTCTGCAGCATGAGGTGCTGCTGCTGGGCTGCGTACATCTGATGCAGGTACTGGGCTGCCATGCTCTGAGGTCTGTGGATCGCATGCTGGATCACCTGTTGGTTAAAAACAAATACATTTTCAGTCCACTGTCAGCAGCTTGTTTTTCTCTAATTCCACATCTAGACATTACATTAGTCTATTGAAAGAAAAATGTACACACTGTAGAGGGGATATCTTTTCTGGGACAGCTTGTTCATAAAAAATTATAATAAAAATGCATGCAAAGGTAACAGGTGCTGTCTATTACCTGACTTATCTTCCTGTCAGATGAAACAATGTATGCACTGCCAAGGGCCCATACATACCTATTACTGTCTGGAGTTCAAAGGTACTGTCTATTGCCTGGAAACCTTACATGTTGAATAAAACAATGAGTGCAGAGTTCCCAGCAGGTGCTCTCTATTATCTGGACTGCCAATCAAGTGACAAACTCTAGACCTGAACTTCCTCCCTGTCGTATAAAACTATATGTGAGATCCATGCTACAGTCTATTATCTGACCTCTTTGCTTGTCAAATTGAATAATGTATAGAGATGTCTGCTGTCCGTCTAGCACCTGGACTGTCTGACAGTCAAGTTAAACAGTGCCTGTAGAGGTCCCAGGTATTAGCCCACTGGGATTATACCTGTTAAATTAGGCCCAGGGCTACCAGATGCTGTCTATTACCTGAAGCACTCATGTGCAAACCTCTTTGCAGAGCTTTTGGGTATTGTCTATTACCTGGACCGCCTGTCTGTCAGATGGAATGATGCTGAGGGAAGCTGAGGGCACCTGGGTGCACGTGGTGCAGCTGGAGCTGACTGTTGCCATGGTGACTGCAGCTGATGTAGTGGGGGTGGTGGCAGCGGCTACAGTTCTATTAGAGTCCGCCTGCTTCTCTTCTGGCCTCGGCCTCTCCATCCTCCAGGTCACACACACAGATTCAGTGATGGGGGAACTATGGAGATGAAAGAGACGTTAATGAACAGGAGGAAGTTGAATACCAACTTCCTCTGAATGAAATTTAGATGTTCTCACTCTCTCTCTTTGGCAAAATCTTCAAGTGACATGAGTCTATAATAAATCTGTCAAAGCTTTAAAACATCCAATGTTTAACGAATGTAAATAAAGGCATGAACAGTTAAAATCAGATTTTAATAAAATACATTTTAAGAACTTGGTTTAAACCTGACATTCTGTTCTCAAATTCTGCCACAATGTTTCTGCTCTCGTTCATATTAAACTATTTAATTTGATAGATTTCACTGGAGTGTAAATTTAGCCCATTTTGCCCTGTTTCAAATAACGCATTATTTATTATCCTATTTGTTTTATATTGGTGTAAAGTAAATATATATGAAATTTGTGGTTCTTGGTGCATCTTAATCTTTTTTTTCATTTCAGCATAACAATCAAATTATGCGTCATAAATTATAAACAAACTATAACAGGAGGAAAACAGATTATTAACACAATTAGAAAATATATTACACATCATTGATTAATTGATGGGTGTTTAATGTTATTTTCTGCCTTGAAAACAACTAATTATGCGTAAAATATTTCCTTAAAACAATAACAATAAAATAATCTCTGACAGCCCAGTAAAATAATGTGCTGTATATCTCAAATTGATGGAGGCTGATATTGGATGGAGGCTCAAACGTTGAATATTGATTGGATTTTGCTGCAGAACCTATCTATTAGAAAGCAGACATGATATTATCCAAAAAACCCTGAACGAGCACAAAAACACAGTCTGATCTTCAATGTACTGTCCATAATGTATAGGATAATCAATTCAACATATCGGGGAGTCATTCTCTGTCTCTCTGTGCGTCATGCATCCTCATCCATTCACCTCTTGTCGGCGGTACCTGCCTGGTAGTGAAAGACTCGGGCCATCAGGAGCTGCCCGTACCCCGGCACATTGTCCCAGTCAGGAGGCGACACTGATGCGTCAATGTAAAATGGAGATAAAAAAAAATCAGACGGTGCTCAGACAGGAGACTGTAATAATAAAAAAAAGAGCCTGGACACAGCACCGCTTACAGTGCGGGAGGACCTTCCACATGCGGGGGTCTGCTGCTGCGCGCACTGCGTGGACAGACCCGGAGGTGTCTGACTGTTTACTCTGAGTTTATTTGCATTGTAGGGACGATTTTTACTATTCCTTATCTGTGAGAATGAGCTTCGTGCGGGATTCATTTTGCAGTCCAAAGACACTGGGGAATTAATCTCAGTGAAATTCAGCAACCATGCATGATAATAATGATGAACTTTATTTATATTGTTCTTTTTTTACAGTGTTACAAATGGCTTTACAAGGAATAAACAATGATAATAAAACAATGAACAGGAAAATAGAACAATAAAAAAGAACACTTCTTCTATTACTACGCTATTACTACTATTAAAATTAGAAATCATATCACTTTATTTGTATTGCATATTTCAAAACAGCTGTTACAAAGTGCTACACCAAGAGTACAAATTAAAAACAAGACTAAAAACAAAGCAAAATAACACAATCTAATTTAAAATCAAAGACAGCCAATGATACAGTATAAAATATAAAATCAAAGGGGGCAGATAAAATAATACAACATGATTTAAAAATAATGGCAGAATAAAAGGATGAAAGACACATAAGCAATAATAAAAATATAATGACAATAAAAAAAAAATTGTAAAACACATTTGGTCAGTTTCAAGTCTGAGTTCCTCAGGTAAACTATTCCAGAGGGTTGGGCCCCTGTCACTATAATAACACAATCATGGGGCCTTAGTATAAATATCTATTGATGTGAAAGCTCAGTCGAGTAGCTTGATACCAAACCATGTACCAGAATTAATATTAATATTTGAATACAATTAAACAGCACCACAAACTGCAGCTTCCTCAAACTGATGGATGACAGCATAATTATCGTAGAGGCTGAAACTGAAACGGTTGTATTAATTATAAATGGCATAAGTGATAGAATTTAAATAATTTCCAGTGTCTTTCCATTTAATATGTAGTAGTTAAATTATAGTGTAGTATTTGTCTGTCTGGCGTTGAGATAAATTACGTTTTTTTTAAGCCTCCAAACCAGGGCACTTGAATGCACCATGTCCCCGGGCGGTTTTACGATGTCCGAGCACAGACGTTTGTACGTGAATGCATCCCTCACACACGCTAAAGCCCTGAGTTGGTACAGTCGGGAAACCTGGACGAGGACGTATTAAAAACTTAGCGACGTGGAAATAATCTCCCGTTGGGTTTGTTGCTTTGTAAAAAAACAAAAACGAACGTGTGTAAAAAACGCGTGTGGTAAAGTTTTAATATAATATTAATTTAACGCGCTGACATGTCTGCGTGTGTCGGGTGCTAAGTTATGCGCCACCCCGCAGCATTCCGGCAGTGGACTCGCCCGTCGCCAGGCCTCTGCAGTGGGGAGTTGTTCGGAGGACTCCGCAAGTTTGCTTTTACTTTACGTGAGAATTGTGTTTGTGTAAAAAAGAGCTAAAGTCGCCATATTCCGGAGAAAGTACCTCGGTGTTTACTCTGCGTGTCGACGGACTGTACAAGCAAAGTGTTTGGGCGTGATACACAACTACACACAGCCGAGGAGGGAAGGAAAGGAGGAGGAAGGCATCGGTGAGTCGGACAGACCGCGGCGGAGCTTGTGATGCCGACGTTGCGGGACAGCACCATGTCCCACCCCGGCGAGAATTCCCACCAAGTCCGGGTGAAAGCTTATTACAAAGGGTAAGAACTCACACTTTCCTCCAGCGTGTTTTTCTTCCTCATTAATGTTGTAATAAACCCGACTCGCTGCGGGGTTCAGACTCGGCAAAAAGGTGGCAAACCAGTTGGCTAACGTTAGCGAACTCAGCTAGCAGCATGCTAATATCAGGTACCAGGGTTTTGGTGGACTTGACCCGGCAGACAGGCAGGGGAAACTGTCCGGACACACAGCCAGTATGAAGCCAAAAGCACCGTGTTACTTCTGATGTGTGCAGCGAATTTGTGAAGTGCTTTAAACTCAGTCCAAATGAGTTGTTGTGCTAGCTAACAGCTGCTAACAGTGGTCGCTGAGTCCAGTGCCTGTCAGTAACTAGCTCTCAGTTTGATCAGGTGAACAACCAAACCCGGGTTGTTGTTGTTTTTGATTGACTAGTTTTGTGGCAAGTTGACACTTGCTGAGAGATTGATGTTATTTTAGGGACGAACGGGAAATCAATTAAAGTCGGTTCAAACCAGAGCATTGTTCTCAGCACTGTCTCAGTAAATCAGAACAGGAAATGAATTTAAATGTCATTGCTTCACTGTCATTTTCATTCCAGTAAGAATGTCAGAAACACTGCAAACTTCAGACAACAAGACAGTGTACTATAATTCACTACTACTAGCTAACACGCATTTCCTAATGATTGTTATCCCACCAGTGACTTTCTTGATTCAAATGTATGTAAAGTATTGTTTGAATGTTGTTTAATGTTTTTTGCATTATTCCAATCTAAGAGGGCTCCAATTTGCTTGTTTTGATCAACAAATACCCCAAAACTTAAACATACCCAAATGATTACAGTAAAGAATAAATACAATCAAATAATGAAATGAATTATATATATTTGTACCTAATAAGCTACTTTTACAGTTTATACTTATTATATTTAATAGTTTATTTTCTCATAAGTCTACTGTTGAGCATTTGATCCTTTAATTCAGCAGTGGTTTCGACTCCAGGTGAACTCTGTGACACATAACAATGACCTAGTGTTAACATTACCAGTATCTGAAGGGGGATGATGAGTTTGACTCAAGACCAGCATGACATCATAAACTATAAATGTCAGTGAACTGTTAATCCCACATCATCCCACTTGTAATGAAACTGCCTGTGCTTTGATATTTAATCATACCTAATAAGAGTCAGTGATTACCGTCCAGCCTCGAGTTGTTTTAGTTTCACACTTAGAGGTGGTGGTGGAAATCATTGGTCACCCACTATGTTTCACCGACACACCCTGTCCCACTGTCTCTCTGTTTGACGGAGCCATTGGTTGGAGCCCAGCCAACTTGAAAAACATGTAGTGCAAGTCACCTCGGCCATACCTGTTGTATTTCTCATTGGCACTGCGACACACCTCAGTCTAATGTGTCGATCACTAGTTGTCATCCTGCACAACAAAACATGTGAAGTATTTATGAGGTTGCTGTTGAGGAATCTCAGCTATGTTGGCAAAAGGGAAAGCAAAAAAAGGCCTCACAGTTTGGCTATCAGGATGGATTAAGACAAGATGCCATCAATGTTGTTATAGTTTCACTGCAGACATTTGGAGTGGGACTTAGATGGGTTAGTAATGCCCTGAATCAATGTATTAGATTGGTAGTGATGAATCAGGTAGTAGTGTTTGTTTCGTTACTGTTTTTATATAGTTGTAAAAAGTACAACTTTTATATAACGTCTATGATGCATAAAACATGCTCAAGCCTCAAAAGCATGTGGCTGTGGCGCTGGATTTTTGTGAAGAAGAGGCTGGTCGTTCACAGAGGTGATTGTCTCTGTGATTGTTGTTCTTTCCCCCACTTTTTTTGGCAAAATTAAAAATATGATTTCCCTTCAAATGTCTGATTAATTATGGTGGAAATAATTGTTAACTCCAGCTCTAAACAGGTTGTGTCCTCAGTTTTATTTTTGTGTTTCAAAGTGTTAATCAAAGAAATCAGCCGATTGATTTTCATGACAGATAGGAGAGAGCAAATGTTTTTAAGACATCCTTTCAATCTAAAAAATGTTAAAATACCATATTCAATCAGACTGTTTAAATGATTTAACTCAGTGATACAGTCTTATCTAATCTATTTTCAGTACTTGTGCTATTTGTGAGCCCATTCTTTTCTTTTTATTTGTCTGTCATCTGTCAGAGACAGCTTTAGCAGACTGGTGTCAGCCTGTAGCAGTCGCTCTGTCACTGGCCTGTATTTATGTTGCTCTCATTCAGATAGTCAATAGAGAAATGCACTGACCACATGACCAGACAACAATGGCGATGCTGATACTATTCTGTGGTAGTAGATGGTGGAGAGTTGTACAGCTGAAACAAATTTTTTTACTTGATTTGAATGATTTGTCTTAGATGATGTTGTATGGTTTAAAATAAATATATATAAATATAATAAATATATTCAGTTTAAGATAGAGAACAACAAACCATCACTTTTCATTAATTACTATTTCATTAATCTATACTTGTGCATTTTAATAAAGATGAGTGAAGTGTGTCTGACAACTGATAAAGCTTTCTAAAGCAGTAAATTATTGAAACTAGGTGTTACCTGTTTGCATTTAGATTTTTTTTCGAGTTATCATATGTTGATGAAGAATTATATTTTTCCAAATGGACCCTTCCTCATTTAAACTGAAGCAGGAGTTTCACAGAGTGTATCTTCTGTGTTTGTTGATTAGGATTTTAACATCAGATTTGCCAACACTGATGAACACAAGGCTTCAACTTCAGGATTCCTGTGTGAGGCATGTTGTTCGGCAGGAAAATGGGATTGCACTGGCTCGACGGAGCAGTTCACTTATTTTCTTCTCTTAGAAAGGAGTTGCTCTTCCTTTTCAAAGGCTCCGCCATTTACATCAAGACTGGAAGGCTTGGCTTTGTTTAAAATACAGGAAGCATTCCTTATCTTGCCATTTACTTTTTCTCTGAAAGCCCCTGAAGCATTGAACCACAATGTTATACACACGTCTCCACTTCTAATTATAGTTACGGACTATCAGTCACCCTTAGCGGCCGCTCAAATGCATGTAATGTATTGTCTATGTTGTAGCGTCTATATCATTATGTGTTTTACACATTACACATGTATTTCCGCACAGGTGTCTTTCTGTGGTTGGAGGAGTGACCTTGTCCCCGCACTCAGCAGGGGTGCGTTTGATTGTTGCCTTGTGCTCAAAGCTTCCTCTCTTTATGCGTGACAGGCGGACTTGAGCTGCCTCAGACCGCAGCATCCTGCAATCTGGACCAGTAGAGCTGCCAGTTGCAGTGCAGGTTTTTTGTATAGGTGGCTGTTTCGGTCAAACTTTTCCTATCAATGCATCTCTGTGTTAGCATGTGATTCGTCTTCTCTGAGGCAGTGCATGTGGGTTATGTGAAGGTGTAGCGTGAAGGTGTTGTGGGGGGCATACCCATGGCAGCGCTGACAGGGAGATGGATGGTCGTAGGTGCTCATGGAAGCCTGGAGAGGCACCCTGACCCTTCTTTCTGCTTGAGCACTCACCAGTAACAAATGGCTTCACGCTGGGCAGATGGGGCTTCAGAGTCCTACTCACGGCAGTTAAGACACCAGGGGCACAGGCCAACACCCCCTACATTTCCTTCTCCTCCTCCTCCTCTTTCTTTTAATTTAGCTGTACTGTAGGACAGTACAGAGCAGAGGAATGCCAGGTCTGTGAGGAATGTCACTTCCTCCCTGTTACTCACCACTGATAAGCCTCGCAGTCTATCTCTCTTAGTCACCCTGAGGAATCCCACAGCTAGCTTTAATTTGTCACCAGGTCATTACTTTTTGATCCAAAATTTCCCTTTCAGTTGGATCGCTTGTTTAATGTGGTGTTATTAACTAAAAATGCAGTATTGACAAATGAATTGTTTAAATCCAAACATTAATTCTGTAATTTTCAACTCAGGTTAGGTCAGTTGAGTTCAGCCAATATTAGACTTATGAGAAAAAACGTTTTTATCTATCTACTATCAATATCTGTAAATAAAGAAATGCATATTAAGCTTATCAGAGAGTTAAAGATTATATTTTATACAGTTTTTTTTTCTCTCCAAGTAAAAAGTCAACACCCAAAGATATTTAGTTTAAGTCTAAGAAATAATCTCAAAGATAAATTAAAGAGATTAATCAATTATGAATGTTGTTATATATACATTTTCTGTTGATCAACATATAATTGATAAATTTTTTAATCAATTATTATCTTTATTTTTTACTGGTGTTGAGATTAAAATAAAGAAACTGTTTTATACAGAAAGGGCTGCAACGTATGGTTTTTTAAAGTATTTATTAGTGCAGGGATTTAAGTTTTAATCAAATGTGTCTATGAAATTAATCAATGTCTTTAAATAGAAACAAAAATGCCAATTATTTTGATTTGTTTCTTTGTCTTAAACATACAACATTCTTTTAAATAATGGCCTTTACTTACTCTTAACTGCTGAAGGTAACCGTTCTTTATTTGAGACAATTAGAAATAAAATCCTTTATTAAATAAGTATGATTGTTAAAGTTTAATATATACAGTAATGATGATCTATTAAACTTTGCTTACAGAAAGTGAAAAGTACTTTTCACCCCTGCTCTCAATATATTTTTATCCCTTCCTGTCTGGGTGTTTGTTCCTGAGCCTGTATCTGTGTCACAGTTGTTTGAGGCACCTGAGACGCGGCTTAACTTTAACTACAGCACAGAAACTGTGTTTAATGAACACCCACAGCTCTGGTCCAGCTACACGTGACACAGTTAAAGTCACCTGCTGCCATTAATATGCTTCTTGGATCATCGAGAGACCTGGTGTGAGAACTGAAGTGTCTGTTCTGATGTTATCAGGGCTTTAACAAGAAGTTGAGCTGCCATGTTGGTCTTAGAGAAGAGATCAGACTATAGGAGTGTTGTTGCCAGTCCACCCCCCCTACCCCCCCTCCTCGCAGGCAATGATTAACACCAGCAGGATGGAGGAAGAGGGTGAGAAAATAGAGGGAGGATGGAGGAGTAGGCATCAGTCTGAGCTTTGTGCCAGTTTACTCTTGCTCAGAAAGCTTCCTTCATTCAGAGTGGAGTTTCAGACAGTTTAATCCCAGCCGTTAGAAGGCTGCACTCTTTAGATGATCAACATTAATAAATCACAGTCCAGTGTGTATTCATGTGTGTCTGCTCCGAGCAAGGACTGACCCCAGAGTGACCTTATACACTTTACACCGTCCTTGAACTGAGTGGATGGCCTCCAAGGTGTGCATTGTTTACTTCATGCGTTGGCATTTTATCATCTCGCTTTCAAGTTGATGGAAATCTGGGTCCATCTTTGACGATGGCAGTAAAGGGAGTAAGGGGTATTTGTCCTTGGGGGGGGTCACTCTTTTTACTGGTTGGACGGCTATTACCCATCACCCCCTCTTTATTTCCTGCCTGTTTCCTGTACTCTCCTCGTTTTTGCCTCCCCGCTAGTTCCCAATCCCGACGCCCAAGCTCAGACTCCTGTCGCCTGTAGACCTGTAAAAGCTCAAGTCCACAATCTCCATCCCCCACCTCGGGTCGTATACACCACTGAGGCTGTCCATGAAGCTGAGAGCAGGCGACATCAATCCTAAGGCTGCTATGAAATGACAGACAGATGATCCGGTCCGCAGGGATCGTTGATCTTTGTTTTTCTCCTAATCCCGTGTCTCATCGTAATGTTCGAGTGTTTGAATTGTCTGTGTGAGCTGATGAGGCGGTGAGTGATGTACTTGTTGATTAAGGGCGGTAAGCCAAGTGAAAAGGATTTTTTTCTGTTTTTCAGAGAAGTAATGGAGTGCAGTGGCGGACTGAGAGCCTTTACCACAGCGGTCACAATCGCCTATGATTAATTCTGTTTTTGTGTGTGTGTG